TGAAGTGGAGCTCTGAGTTCATCTTCATACCCTGTTAGTCAGGCTTTAGTAGATACTACTAATGAAATGAGTGTGTGATTTTTTGTGCTTTTTATTTTACCAGCCCCATGGATAATAGGACTTTTCACTTTAAAGTCAGATTTAAAGTTTATTATATGGAGCTTGATGGTTTTCTCTGCCTTTATGTAATAGAAATGCTTTTAAAACCCTCTGTAGTTCCAAGAGAGAGGATGAAGTGAACATGTGGAATCCTTCAGTACGGAGATGTGTGTTTGAGGCTCAGTTGTGTATAACTGGGTGTCTATTGACAGTGCTTTAACCACGAGAATTAAAGTTAAAACTAAGCAGGGATAGAGAATAGCTTTAATTACATTTCAGTTGAGTGATCTCATCAGAACAGCAGCCAAGCCTTAGACATCTATAGTACAAAGAATGAATACCTTGATCTCCATAAGATTGGATTAGATAGCCAATATATGGAATTTTATAATTAAGGCAGGTCTGCTAGATAATGTCACTTCATGGTACACCACTTACTACAGTTTATTCTGCTACCTTCATAAGCATTTAATAGATGTACACCAACTACTACCTATGTAATAGTAATCCTTGACTCATTCATAATCATCTCTCTTCTGTGTGCCAGTTTTACAGGTACCAGCACAGTGGGCAAGAGAAGCATGAGTCCTATTGAGGAAGAAACTGGTTCTGATGACATGGAAGAGGGAGAGGGCCAAGGTCCAGAATGTGATCAGACAGACTCCTGTGCAGAGGCCCTTCCAGATGGTAAGAAGAGAGCCAAAAAATTGAAAAAGATCAAGACAGATCAAGTTCCAGCAGGTAAGTGCAGTGTTGGTACACGTTTTTGTTCTGTTTGAAAGTGCCCTGGGCCTGAACAGAACCGAAGTTGTTCTCTTCAATGTCTTTGCTTGTAACAGTGAGTTACTCCATTACAAAGTGATGAATTTTGCATTATACAAAAATTGGGAAAAACAAACAACAAAACCAAAACAAAACCAGAGAACCCACAAACAACCAAAACCCCACCCAAGACCAACCAAATGAAGCAGAATGTAGTTGATTATTACTTGCTTACTTTCTTTCTTAAGGTAAAACTCTTTGAGTATTTTTTTAGCTATTCTTAATATTTTTTTAATGTGACTTTCTATTCAAGATTACTCAGTGTTATTAGTCATCTAGAGCACTCCCTGTATTGAAATATATTCAAATATTCATAGATAAAACTTCATTTATATATCTGCATTAGCAACTTTTATCCAGAAAGTGGTATTGTATACCAAGCATCCTTTCTCCTGATTTGGCAGAGTAAAATCTTTCGTAGCTGATTCAAAAGCTGTGCTTGGAAATTGCTTTCTTCTTGCAATTTAGGAGGGCAGTTGGGCCATGTAAGCATATGCAAAATGACAGGAGTGTCTACTGTAATTCCAAGTATAAAATTCAGGCTCTGGATTTGGCATTATGGAAATATGCATTATCAGTATTAGTGTGATTTGTCTTTATTCTCCAATTAATTTGGGCTGGAAATATTCTTCACTGTCTTAACTGCCTTGAACAAAAATAACTACAAGTACACATGAGAAAATAGTATTATTTAACTTTATCATCCCAGTTATTGCAAAACCAAAATTACTTAATTACTTGGATTAAAAATGTAGTATTTACTGTTTGGATAAGAAACCTGATATTAACCTTCATTCCCCCCAACCCCCTTTTTTTTTAAGTGTCTGTTCATAAACACTCTCTTGGTTTCTCTTTGTCAATATTGACTTGCCAGTAATGTATCTAGAACCTCACTCTGCTGGAGAAAATATGTCTTAATGTGCTCTGAAAGAACAAAAAAATTCTTGATTTAATTTTTGTCCTATGACTGTCTTTTAGGAAGCTTCACCACTAGTTCCACTGGAATTTTTGAAGTCCCTGAAACATGGTAGGAAACAACTGCCTTAACAAGTGGAATTAATTGAAAGCAGTTGAGAGAATACACCTCTTGGAAGCCATACTTTATTTAAATAAAGTGATGTTAACAAAGCAGTCTGTGTCCTGAAAATCAGTTTAATTATTTTAAACTGTTTATTGAACAATCACTGTCAGTTTTGCTTGTGTGTATATTAACCAGTATATGACTCGTTGTTGATCATGTGAAATCCTTGCTGTCGTAACCAATGTTAGACTTAAGAAGCAAGACTAAATGTATTTTGGTCACCTCCTTTGGCATGCTGGCTCTGAACTGTCCAAAACCAACTGGCACTCCATGATTTCATGCTAGGCTGTCTCCTGTGCTGGGGGGGAGTTACCACGAGTCTCCTCATATTTAGCTGGTTTTTCAGGCAGTGTCAGTTTGCTGTCAGCATTCTGGAAACAGGTAGAACTGCAGTTTCACATATTGCTTTCTACCACTTACTTTATCTGGAAATATCTTTTGAATTTCTGTTCTCTGCCCCCACCCCCTGTGCAGATGGTATTCATCTAAATGCCAGCTTTACACATACCTTACCCTTTCAAAAAACTGTAACTTAAAAGTTTCTCAAACATTAATTTCCTGGTGGGAGGTAATTTTTCTTTGTTTTCACATCTGTTGCTGTTTTCGCCTTTAAATTCTGGTTTGTTTCTTCCCTCCTTCTTCTTCCCCAGCTTGTGGGGCTTTTGTAAAAATGTTTTTTGTGATAAACCTGCTAACTGCACCAGCCCTTTATTTGTTTAAAAAAGGACCTGCATTGATAGATTTCAGAAAATGTTTGATATTTAACTTTTTTGTATCATGGAAATAAGAACAAAGTATGTATTTCCATAAAATGAAAATTAAAGACATTTTCTTAGGAACTCGTTTGTTTTTATTTATTAGCTTCTGAAATGTTTTTAGTGAAATCTTTTTATTTTCTTCTTCAGAATATAACAATTTTTTGACAGCCTGTGATTAGCAGACCCTCTTGATCCATGGACTACTTTCAAGATATTTGTGAAATGTAACCAAGAAAAGCAAGCTTAATGTCACAAGTCTTAAATTGCTGTGTGTTTCCCTTGAAGACATGAAAACAAAAGAAGAGAGTTCTACAAATTATCAAACAATGAAAACCATTGCTGTGGAGAGTGGAATATCAAGAAGGCTTCGTGAGATTATATTTACATTAGAGTGGGAGCCACTGTCATTTAAACAATGCAGTAACCTGTTTAAAGCTATGCCAAAATTCATGGGGTTTTAAATTACTGTGAACTTGCATTGCAAAGGGAAAAATAATTTAAAGATGTTAAATGTGAGATGTTATATTTCTAACCTTGGAATACTCCCAGAAGTAGTATAATTAATTTGGTTTTTTAATAGCAGCCGTATCATCACATTCTCACACTAAAATGTGGGAAAGAAGACTCTATTAGTGATGCAAGGGAAAATTAGTAACTGAACTCTTGTGCTCTCAAGGATCCAGAGACTTTTCTTCCCCAAGACTCATGACCTTAGGACTAAATACTTAAATCACTTTCATCTTGAGTATCCAAACCAATTGCAAATTTAGCTCTCATAATATATGCAACACTTAATAGAAGTTGTATAAGGTCCTCATGGGGATGATTCAGGTCATTTATATGGTGTTCTGTGCAAATGTTGGAGGGTGTTATTAACTATATATCCAAAAGAACTGGCATCACATGATTTGGAATGGAGCTTAGAGCCATGATGACAAAAGGATACAAAAGCATTTAAAGGGATTGTCAGAAGTACAGGTCAAGAGGCAAGGGAGTCTCTGCTCAAGAGATAGAGGCCCACGTTGTCACAGAGAATCCACGTGGAGTCTTCACCCCAAGGCTGTTAGGATCTTCTTTGTTCTTGAAAAGCAACACTTAGATACCTGCAGGGAAAATACAAGTCTTAATTGTATTACAATCCCTTAAAAACTTGTTTCTTCAAATCAGACAGTGTACATACTTCTGTAAACTACAAAAGTTAATAGATATACCCACTACTTCTACTCTCCTCCCCTCCTCAATTGTCATTTTGCGGAGCTGGATGTTACTTATCTCTATCTGTAATTAAATCCTCTGAAGAAAATAGTGCTTTTCCCTTTCCTAGTCCTTACGTGTGCTTGATTTTTACCAGTGAGCACCTGGGTAAGCTACTAAAATGTGCTGGCTGCGGGGCTATGCTATTTTTAATACTAAGTTTGGGTTGATAAGTGTCCGTGTGTCAGAGGTGGTGTCCTAAGCAGGGACTGGCCCCACTGATACCACATCAAACCTCCTTATTTTGTGGGGTTTGGTTCTCTTCCCTGCGCTTGAAGTGAAATCATTAATTCTAGAAGGGAAAGAATGTAGCTTCTTAAATTAGATCCACATTTGTTTCATAATGTGTGTTTAAAATATGTGCCTAGAATTTGTTTCTGAAAAGCAGAGCTGTCATCGCTGGTTGTGATGGCTCTGGGGATTCCTGGGTTCCTGCTCCCTGGCGGTTTGTGTGCTGTTTCTGACTCCAGAGGTCATTGAATCGCAGAATATCCTGAGCTGGACCCACAAGGACCATCGAATAGAACTCCAGGACACCCCAGGAATCCCACCGTCTCCCTCAGGGCTTTGTCCCAGCGCCTCTCGCCCTCCGGTGCTGCCCCGCCCCGCTCCCCTCAGGGCCGGGCGATGGCGGCACCGCCCGTCCCCTCCTCCCGTCCCTGCGAGCCGTGAGGGGCCGGGGGCTTCACCGCCCTCAGCGTTCCTGCTCGTGCCTCCCGATGGTGTAAAGCAGCCTTTAAAAAACATTACCTTGCGGTCAAGTCGCGCTGTGGAACATTTTCTTCAGCAGCCGCTCAGGGGCTTTGCTGTGGCGGGCAGTGCCCAGCGTGGGCCACCGCAGGCTCTGAGGGGACAGAGCTGAGGGGGAGACGCTGAGGAGGGTGTAGGAACCAACAAGCAACAATATATAGAAGTGCTGGAAGTAGGGGTTGAAGGAAGTGAGGAATTGAATTGAGAAAGTGAGGGAATTTTGTCGGTGGTGTTGAGGAAAGGAGTGTGGGCCTGAACACGTGAGTATCTGAAGAAATGGCGTGGAGAAAACACGAGGGAGGTCTGGCTCAGCAGCAACTGAGGTAGGTGAGCTGGCACCCTGCCCTTGCAGAGGAATGAGAATGGGCTTATTTGGCTGGAACTTACACTTGACAGTGCTAATTTATCTGTGGTGATGGAGCACTTCTTTGCTCGCATCAGAAAGCAGGTTAAAACTGTACTTGAAGTAATCATTTTCAAATTCATCTCAAGCCTTTATGGGTGAGAAGTGTTAACTCATATCAGAATGCACAGGATTACAGCACAGGGTATTGGAAGTTGCTGGTAGACAAATAGATAAAGGTAGTTGTGTAGTGTAGGCTAAGGAGGGAGTGTGAATGTCCCTAAAGCATGGATTTGAATGGGCACAGGTAAGAGAGAATTAATTAATCCCATGTAAAATTGAGATTGCTGGGGGTGCAACAGCCTGTCTTGGTCTCAATTTTGAGCTTGTGATTTGAAGCTAAAAGCTTCAGATGATTTAGATGGAGGTCTAAATTTAACTATTGATCCAGTGGTAAAACCAAGCGAGAGATAGAAAGCTAAAACTTTTGGTGACTGTGGGAAAAAGTAAATGTAACTCTTTCTTTCTTTAGACCTTTGAGTTCTGTCATGGTGCCCAGAAAATGTCTGGTACCCTGGATGTGTTCTCTCTCTTAAAATCCTGGTAAACGTAATGCAGACAAAAATGTCCTCTGCGATTCAGTGTCAGAGCATACGCAAGGAGACTCTTGGTAATCAAAAGTTCTTGGCTTCTGAAATGTTTAGACTACTGCCAGCTGAGCAGATGTGTACATTGAAGAAGATTCCTCAAGTTACTCCACAGTGCATTTAGTAACTGAATAAACATTTGCTTGCCTGTATTGCACTGTTGCAGCATTAGACTCACACTAAAGTAACGCTCCATGTGTGCTTCACAGAAATACTGCCACACGTTCATTGCACGAGGAGCACTGGATGGTGGGTTAGACTGAGGTTTATAGGGGCAATATATTCATAATTAGGATGTCCTATTTGCTTTAATAGGTATGCAGGAAGCTCTTTTTAAAAAAATACTCCTTTTCCAGCAGAATAATTGTTGGCAGCCATGTGCTTCCATGAGCATTATAGCAGATCACAAGTCAGCCTGAGCTCAACATGAACTCGTATGGAACACATTATTCATAAATGCCATATTGAAAACATTCAGCCAAAGTGTGAAAAATTAGATTTCCCTCTGCTTATATTAATTTCTTAAAATGGCTGGTAGTTGTATTTGTACATGAACAGTCTATAGTCTGAAAATATTGCAAACAATGTTCTAGCTTATTCCCAGAGTGACCCTGCAGGATGGGGTTGGTGTGTGGCTGAATGTGAGAATCTGGAGGTTGTGGCTGTGCCAAGCCAGTTGCATCCTAATCTCTGATCTGTTTTCAACCCATCAAATGACTGAAAATGCAATTATATTAAAGCTGATTACTTCAGAAACAGCTTTTGAAGTTACCAATTCCTTATATAAGCCTCAAAAAACTTTGCACTGTTGTCAAGGTAAGAATGGCTATTTTGTTTGATTCTCCATACTTATTTTAACTTTTACCTTGAATATCTTTTTCAAATGGGATTTTAAATTTAGAATGTTCAGGGATGACAGTTTGGTTCATGTATATAATCAGGGGTGGGTTTTTATTTCTTTGTTGTTCTTTTTTTTTTTTTTAAATTAGAAGTTAGATGACTTCATTGTAGGATGCTCCTGACTTCAAAAATAAGTTTGCTCCAAGCATGTACAGTATGTGTCTCTATCATTTAAAATTTTTGCATTTGGGGAATTTGCTTAATTTGCAATAAACAACTGATACCTATTTGCCAACAATTCCACAGTAATTTAAAATTGACCCTCTACTTTCTTTGTCAAAGGTCTACATTTCAACCTTCCCCTTTAATTCTCTCATGTGCTCGATTTACTTTCAGTTGTATTTTTAATGTGCTGCTGAGAAGCAGCAGTTATCATTAGAAACTTTTTTACTACAATACTGCAAGTGGACACAGTATTTTAGTTGTCTGGTCTTATGCTGAGCATACTGTTATCAGTGAATAATTCTCTGTTGCAAAGACATAATTTCATGTTGATATTACTGGACTCCCTCACATGTAGAATAATAACCCTTTCTGCTAGACTGTACCACACTCCCCCGAGGCTTTGAAGTAATTGTTAGTAAAACAGATTAAAGAATGGTGGTACTAAATGATCAGTCTGTGAAGAACTTAAGGGGAAGTGTTTATACTGGCAAATTTTAGGAGGTCAATGGGGTGATGCTTGAAATATTTAATATTCCATTCTCATAGAACAGATCACTATTTTTAGTGATCAGTATTTTTAGTACTTCAGTCAGGTTTCTTAATTGTTATAAATTCTTCTGTCTCTCAGAGGGTGCAGCTCCAAGGTGTTAAAGCACTTATAACATCTTCATAATAATTTTTAATGGATATTTGCAATTAATGCACAGGGGAGTTCTCGAGACTCACACCTTTGGTTTGAATTATGTCCAAGAACAGGAATTTAACATCTAATTGTTCATCTAATTCATGTCTAACACAAAATTTGGGCTCAGGATGTGTCTAAAGAAAAATGGAGATTCAGTGGCAGAATCACTTGTTTAATACCCTTTAGTCTTTTTATTCCCTTTTTTTTTTGATGAAAGAGCCTGAAGAATTAGACTAAATATAAACTAAATATGAAACTCTATTTTAGACTGACAGTTTTAACAAATACATCTTACAACTACTCTTACTACTTGTGATGACAGTAGTAATGTGCTGATTCAGTATGAGTACAACTGGTACTAAAATCTAAATTTAATGTAGTTTATCTTAAAAAAAAATGACAGTAGCAGCTATACAAACGCTAAGAAACTGTTGAGTTTATAAAAAGACTAAAGAATAGAATGATGCTCAATTTAATATATTTCCATACTAGTGGCACTCAAATGTGAGCAGGTGGAGCTATTTTTTCGCCGTGGGAGCAATCTGTAAAAGACTTGCTTTTGAAATTACTACTCCAACATATAAGTCTAATGAGCAACAGTAAAAAGTAGCATTTTCTGAGGAAGGTGCACTATTTTTCATGGCAAAGAAAGGCTTCCCAGTTATAGTCTGACAATTTGCAAAGACTTGCTGAATGCACGAACTCAGCTCTGTGATTTTAGAAGAGACCCTGTCTGGTTTTTCTTTGTGTCTGTGATATGTAATCTCAGGGTATGTGTGTTACAAGCTGGAAGCTTTTCTGCCTGTGTTAAAAAGCAGCTTTTCTTACTCTAGTTTGCCAAAACATGCACTCAGGACAATGTATTTTAGTGAAACACAAGATTTTCTGTCAGTAGATGCTTTTCAATCTAGTGTAGACGTTTTCTCAGTTTGAATAAGGAATTTGGAAAGTTCTGTTTCCGCTGCTGCAGGAGTTCAGATGAGACAGAGTTGTGATATGTTCTGAAGTCCAGTTTCTTAAATAAAGGTAGTTCCCCACGTCCCTTCCTGAGCATATATCAACACTTTGAAGTTGATATTTAACTTCACAACAAATTTAACAGTGGCTACCACATTCTCATCTACTTCTACTTATGAAATGCTCACTAATGTTAAACAAACCAAACCCTTTCTTGTTCCTTGAATACTTTCCTGAAAAACAAGCACACACATAAACACAGCTGTAACTGCTGCAGTAAAAGTGCAGTAAAAAAAAAAAAAACTTAGAAAAATGTTGAATGTTTGCTCTACATATAGTTTTACTGGTGTGTATTTTACTTTTATGTTTAGTAATAAATTATTTGGATAAAAATACTGCTGTGAATCGAACATAGAGTACAATTTCAAGTATAATCATACAATCTAAGGTAGATTTGTGAACTGTAATCAGTATTTAGAGCTCCATTACTCATTTTGGCAAATAGATTTCACGTTGTTTCCCTCGGCAAGATCTGAAATTATCCCTGTGTCTGAAATTGCAGCCTTTGCCTCTCCCAGGCTGTTGGATGACTCAGGCAATCTGTGTAATCTCAGTGTGTCCATGGATGGAGCACTCCTTCCATTTCCACAGGTGGAATATTTATGTGAAATGCAACATAAAATTACTAATCTGGCACGCTGAGTGTTTAATATCCTGCAAGGATGGTGGAACAACTGTGTGGCTGCTCAGCCACCGTGCCACCAGTGCAAAGGAATTCCTGGAGCAAGGCTGGAGGCACTGGCAAACAGCTCATGGAGCAGCCTGAGAACAGGGCAGTGTCAAACATGGTAAAAGCTACAGAAAACTGGAAGACTTTTTTGCTTGGAGGCTGAAGAGCTAACCCAAATCCTAACAAATCCTAAAATTACTGAAAGGAAATGGACTTCACTAAAGGTTTTCACTAAAGGTGAGAAGTTAATTAGTTGTTAAACTTGTGAGGATGTCTTCACATTTAATAGAACTGAAAAGTCTTGTGCAGGTAAGACCTCATGCAGGGGTGCCCTTTGACAAACGTGACACTAGACTGAGCAAAGATAAAACTGTTTTCCTGTTTTATTGAATAACATGCAACTGTATTAATACCTGTAAGTGTTGAGCACTCAGCTGGACCACGGAATGTGGATGTTCCACACCGGAGCAGATTTTATGTGTCTAGACCCTGTTAGGGGCAATTAATTCGTAGTCACTGACATGTTCTCTAACTTTACATGCCTGTAAAAGTGTAACAAGCTCTAAGGTTACTATTTATTTCCCACAGCTCTTCTGTTAAATGCCAATACTGTGGTAATTATATCTTTACAAAGTATCTACTGTATTTTATGCCAGCAAACAATATGCAAACATTTAGTCAAATAGACACTGGAAGATGAAAGAACCAAATGGTTTGTATTATACAATTTCATTTCCTTGCTTCTTTGTACATTCTTAGTAAGAATATTTGCTCCTCATTTAATCATTTAATTTCAGTTTGTAAAAGTGAGAAATATTTTTTTATTGAGCATTCCTAATAGGTTTGCTATCTGTGTGTTTCTTTGAGACAGCTGGAAGATTCTATATATACTCCAA